ACAGAAAACCATTCCACGAGAAGCCCAACCCTGAGACCCCAGGACGTCCATTGATTGTTGGTGGGGGAACGTAGCGCTTTCCATGGCAAAACCGTCGAACCCCAAGAAACCCAGGGCACCCTGGAGGCAAGCAGGGGGGTTCTTGGCATGGGTTTCCACGGTAATAGGGTCCAGAGAGGACCCCGAGGGCCCCGAAAAGGGTTCCGAGCGACCAGCTTCTGACTATTTCACCGCAAACCGCCACAGCAACAAGGTGCGCCGCAGCGCGACACGGAAGAGGCCACGACTGTCGACTGGCCGAATGCACGAGCAGATGCCTGGTAGCGGAGCGAGGAGGCCCGACAGACAACACGAGACGGCGCGCGGGAAGATAGGCCTGCGGCCACGGGCTTCCTACCAGAGAGCTGGAAACACACAAGGCTCGATTCGCGTGGACCATCTGGAAGCCCCGCGCTGGATACACGTGCGAACTCCCGGCCTCCACGGCCATTCGACGGCCGAGCGCTGGAAAGACATCCTGGCCACCTGGCTGGTCCCGAAATCCCAACTCCGAGAAATTAGCATCTCCTGGGCCAGATTCTGCACTTCCGCCGGCCTTCCGCTGGCCTTCCGCTGGCTTCCGCCGGCGGAGCCGCCCCCGTTCTGCTGCCGCCGCATTCTGGTGGCCTTCCTTCGCCTTCCGCCGACGAGGAGATGCCAACCCCTTCGAGCCCTCGTAAGGCCAGGCCTCTTCTGGAGCAACACACGTGTGTATGTGTATATATATATATATATATATATGTGTACATGTGTATTTATGTATGTGTCTGTATACGTGTCTGTGTATGTCTTGCGTCTGTGTCTGTGTCTGTGTCCGCGTCTGTGTGTCTGTGTGTCTGTGTATCTGTGTGTCTGTGTCCGTGTGTCTGTGTGTCGATGTGTCTGCGTGGGTGTGGATTTGTGTATGTGTGTATGTGTGTATGTGTGTATGTGTGTATGTGTGTCTGTGTGTGTGTGTCTGTGTGTGTCTGTGTGTATGTGTGTATGTGTGTATGTGTGTATGTGTGTCTGTGTGGGTGTCTGTGTGTGTTTGTGTCTGTGTGTGCGTGCGTGTGACTGTGTGTGTCTATGTGTGTGTCTGTGTGTGTGTCCGTGTGTGTCTATGTCTGTGTTTGTCTGTGTTTGTGTCTGTGTGTGTCTGTGTGTCTGTGTGTGTCTCTGTGTGTGTCTGTGTCTGTGTGTCTGTGTGTGTGCCTGAGTGTGTCTGTGCGTGTCTGTGTGCGTGTCTGTGTGTGCGTCTGTGTGTGTGCCAATGTGTGCCTGTGTGTGATGTGTGTGTGAGTTTGTGCGTTGTGTGTGGTATGTGTGCGCGCGTGTCTTCGTGTGTCTCTGTGTGTGTGTCTGTGTGCATGTGTGCGTCTGGGTGTGTCGGTGTGTTTCTATATGTGCGTGTGTCTGTGTATGTGTGTGTCTGTGTTTGTTTGTATGTGAATGTCTGCGTGTGTCTGTCTCTGTCTGCGTTCACATGTGAGTCTGTGTGTGTCTGTGTATGTCTGTGTGTGTCTGTTTGTGTCTGTGTGAGTCTTTGTGTGTCTCTGTGTGTCTCTGTGTGTCTCTGTCTGTCTGTATGTGTCTACGTGTGTCTGTGTGCGTGTGTCTGTTTATGTCTGTGTGCGTGTCTGTGTGACTGTCTGTACGTGTGTGTCTGTGCGTGTGTGTCTGTGTGTCTGTGTGTGCCTGAGTGTGTGTGTCTATGTGTGTGTGTTGTGTGCTGTGTGCCGGGTGTTGTGTGTTGTGTGTTGGGTGTTGTGCGTGGTGTGTGTGATGTGTGTGTATGTGTTTGTGTTGTGTGTGGTGTTTGTGCGCGCGTGTGTCGTTGTGTGTCTCTGTGTTTGTCTGTGTGTGCCTGAGTGCATCTGGGTGTGTGACGGTGTGTGTGTGCCTGTGCGTGTGTGTCTGTGTATGCGTGTGTGTATATGTTTGTGTGTATGTGTGTGTGGCTGCATGTGTCTGTGTCTATCTATGTTCACATGTGTGTCTGTGTGTGTCTATGCGTGTCTGTGTGTGTCTGCGTGTGTATCTGTGTGTGTCTTTGTGTGTCTCTGTGTGTCTCTGTGTGTCTCTGTCTGTCTGTGTGTGTGTCTGTGTGTGTCTGTGTGTGTCTGTGTGTCCCTGTGTGTGTGTCTGTGTCTGCGTGTGTCTGTGTGTCTGCGTTGTGTCTGTGTGTATGAATGTGTCTGTGTGTGTCTGCGTGTGGCTGTGTATGTCTGTGTGTCTGTGTTTGTGTCTGTGTCTGTGCGTGTCTGCATGTGTGTGTCTGTGCGTTTGTGTATGATTGTGTGTTAGTGTGTGGCTGTGTGTGCTTGTCTGCTTGTGTGTTTGTCTGTGTGTCTGTGTGTGACTGTGTTTGTCTGTGTGTCTGTGTGTTTGTGTGTGTCTCTGTGTGCGTCTGTCCGTGTCTGTGTGCGTCGGTGTGTGTCTGTGTGTGTCTGTGTGTGTCTCTGTGTGGCTGTGTGTCTGTCTGTCTTTGTGTCTCTGTGTGTCTCTGTGTGTCTCTGTCTGTTTTTGTGTGTTTGTGTGTCGTGTGTGTCTGTGTGTCTGTCCGTGTCTGTGTGTGTCTGTGTGTGTGTCTGTGTGTGTGTCTGTGTGTCTGTGTGTGTGTGTCTGTGTTCGTCTGCGTGTGTCTGCACATTTTTGTGTGTCTGTGTGTGTGTCTGTGTGTGTCTCTGTTTCTGTGTGTGTCTCTGTGTGGCTGTGTGCCCCTGTGCGTGTGTGAGTGTGTGTCTGTGTGTGTGTCTGCGTGTGCCTGTGTGTCTGTCTGTATCTGCGTGTGTGTCTGTGTGTGTCTGTGTGTGTCTGTGTGTGTCTGTGTGTGGCTGTGTGCCTGTCTGTGTGTTTGTGTGTGCCTGTGCGTGTCTGCGTGTGTCTGCGTGTGCCGGTGTGTGTCGGTGTGTGTCTGTGTGTGTTTCTGTGTGTGACTGTGTGTCTGTGCGTGTCTGTCTGTGTCCGTGTGTCTGTGTGTGTCTGTGTGTGTCTGTGTCTATCTGTATGAGTCGGTATGTCTGTGTGTGTCTGCGTGCGTCTGTCCGTGTCAGTGTGTGCCTGTGTGTGTCTGCGTGTGTCTGTGTGTGTCTGTATGTGTCTGTGTGTGTGTGTCTGTGTATATGTGTGCGTTTGTGTGTGTTTCTGTGTGTGTGTCTCTGTGTGGCTGTGTGTGTCTGTGTGCCTGTGTGTGTCTGTCCGTGTCTGTGTGTGTCTGTGTGTGTCTGTGTGTGTCTGTGTGTGTCTGCGTGTGTCTGTGTGTGTCTGTGTGTATGTGTGCGATTGTATGTGCCTGTGTATGTCTCTGTGTCTCTGTGTGTCTGTGTGTGCCTGTGTGTGTCTGTGTGTGTTTCTGTCTGTGTCTGCGTCTGTGTGTGGCTCTGTGTGTCTTCGTGTGTCTGCATGTGTCTGTGTGTATGTGTGTCTGTGTGTTTCTGTGTGTCTGTGTGTGTGTCTGCGTGTGTCTGTGTAAGCTTGTGTCTGTGTTTGTGTGGTTGTGTGCTTGTGTGTGCTTGTGTGTGGTTGTGCGTCTGTGTGCTTGTGTGTGGTTGTGTGTTTGTGTGTTTGTGTGTGTTTGCGCGTGTATGTGTGTGTGTGTGTCTGTGTGTGGTTGTGTGCGTTTATGTGTTTGTGTGTTTGTGCGTGTTTGTGTGTTTGTGTGTGCATCTGTGCGCCTCTGTGTGTTTGTTTGTTGTGCGTGTGTGTTTGTGTGTTTGTGTGTGCTTGTGTGTGTGCTTGTATGCGTGTGCTTGTGTGCTTGTGTGTGCTTGTGTGTGTCTGCGTGCTTTTAGTGTGTGTGTGTGTTTGTGTGTGCTTGTGCCTGTGATTATGTGTGTTTGTATATTTGTGTGTGCGTGCGTGCGTGCGTGCGTGTTTGTGTGCTTGTGTGCGTGATTGTGTGTGGTTGTGCGTGATTGTGTGTGATTGTTTGCGATTGTACGATTGTGTGTGATTATTTGTGCGATTGTGTGTTATTGTGTGATTGTGTGTGATTGTGTGTGCGTGTGTGTGTGAGTGTATGTCTATTGCAGCCTGCTTTCGGCCAGCCTGGTCGTGTCATTGACGCTGGCCTCTCTTGGTGGCTTTACCATCCATCAAGATTTTTACGGCACGTCGAATTTGGCTGGTGTCGGCCCCGCGTATGCATGTTTTGCGTGCACTGCGTTCCGCCACCACCTATGTATGCTGTCGTAGCGTCAGGTCAGCTGTTGTGATGCTGCCGCGGCCTGTAGGTCTAGCACTCCACCTGATGTGTCGTCTCGCCAGGCCATAGCTCTCAGCGTTACCCCACCAATCAGCTGGTCTGGCAGATTTACAGGTTGTAATATGTATCAGCGTTTCCGGCTGCCTTGAACAAGATATCGTGCTCCTCGGGTTCTGGCCGCTGCACGCTTTTGGGGTCTACACCTGTCGGTGACTACTGGACTTAGTTTGCACTAGATTGCTCGCGCATCTGTTCTCCTTGAGTCGAGTCCGCTCTGCGTACTCCTCGGGTTCTGGCCGCTGCACGCTTTTGGGTAGACAGTCCCATCACTACACCACCCATTCTCTGCAATTTACAGAGTGCGCCCTTCGCATAGCTGTTATTTTGGCCACGCCCGTCTGAAATTAGAACCTTCATCTGCTGCACGCGCCTGAGGCTCCTGTGCACAGCCGACTAAAATGTGTGTGGTGTGTGTTTGTGTTTGTGTTTGTGCCTGTGCTCGTGTTCGTGGTTGTGTTTGGATTTGTGCGTGTGTGCGTGTGTGTGTGTGTGTTTGTGATTATGTTTGTGTTTGTGCTTGCGTTTGTGCTTGTGCTTGTGCTTGTGTGTGTGTGTGTGTGCAAAGCTCTCCGGACTTCTTCCGCCTCCACTGCTTCACATGCCGCGCTCCACAGCACGCGCGTTCAAGGGCTTCCTGCCCTGAGCGTGCTCCGCACCCTCCCCCCCCCGCGCCCGCGCCCTCCTCCCCGGATGTGCCCACGTGGGCCCCGCGGTGCCCCTCGCCACGACCGACAAGTGCCCAGCCCCCGCCCAGGCCAGCCACGCCTAGGCGTGCCTGGCCGTCCTCTCAGGCAGCGCCTGGGCGCCCTCGCGAGGGGGGGGCGGGCCAGGCCTCTGCGGACCCCCCGGACTCCCAGCAACCCCCCGGGCTGTACGCCAGGACCAGCGGCTCCGCGGCCAGCAGCCTCGCGGCCACGCCCGCCTCGCAGCCGTCGGTGGCGACGCGACGGAGGGCGTGGACGACGACGGCATCGACGTCGACGTCGGCCCAGAGCTCCGACGAGATGACTTTCTCAACCGGCGGTATTTCCTCGGTCTTGGCCCTCGGGAGCCGCATTTCGGGCCCCAGGGCCATGAAAACTGTATCGGGCCCAGGAAAGCGGTCGGGCCCACTGGGGCCGCGGATGGTAAAAATCAGATCGACGAGCGCCTGGGGGCGCGACGAACGACGTTGACGACGACGTCGACGTCGACGTCGGCGTTGTCGTTGCCGTTGGTTCCCCAGACATCCGAAGGACCGATCTTGGCAATCTCGGCACTTCTGCCCCACCTCAGCCTTCGGCGGGGGCCTTCTCCGGACCCAAGGACCACCAAGAGAGGATCCAGGATGCAAAGCGGCCCCCAGGGAAAGCGGCCAGGAGATGTGAGCCCGCGGATTGGAAAATCACGCCGCTGGATGTCTGGGAACACTGAGGGCAAAAACTCTTCGAGCTCGTTATGCTCAAACATAGATGAAGGCAAAGCCTTGCTTGCCGTCGGTTGACGTCGTCGCCGTCGTCGTCGCCGTAGCCGTCGTCGTCGTCTTTGTCGTCGTCGTCGGCGTCGTCGTCGACGTCGTCGTCGTCGGCATCGTCGTCGTCGTTGTCGTCGTCGCCGTCGGCGTCGGCGACGGCGAAAGCGCCGGGAGCAGCGCCCACCTGGCCCGAGGCGGCGAGGATCCCCAGCGAGACCTGCGCGGCTGCGGCAGGGCGCCCCCCGACCACCGCCCCGGCGCCCGCGTTCTTCGCGCCGCCGTCGGCGACGACGCGACGGCGGCGGCGATGGCGACGTGGACGTCGACACCGACGTCGTAAACGATGTGGAGGTCGCCATCGTCGACGTCGACGACGCCGACGCCTTCGGTTCGGAGGTCTGCGGGAGGTTCTCGACGTTCTCGTCGCCAAATCTGGAAGCGGCTCCATTCGTGTCGGCCAGACTGGCCAGGACAAATTTTGAGAAGACTTTGGTCGGACGCCGATGACGACGACGACGACGCCGACGACGACGACGACGATGACGACGAAGACGAAGACGAAGACGACGACGATGACGGCGACGGCGACGGCAATTGCGACGGCAAAGGCGACGGCAAAGGCGACGGCGACGACGATAACGACGACTGCGGGGCATCCCCCGACCCATCCCCCTTCACGAGAGGGAAGAAGAACTACCCTCATAATGAGCACTCCGACAAGCGAAGCCGTTTCGCAAACGCACCCAGGAAAGGAATCGAAAGCGCCAGGGCTGCTTGGCAAACGCCCAGGGCCGCTTAGCAAGCGCCAGCTGTGGGGTCGTGGTGGTTTTTCCTCCCTGGACTCATCCCCCCTGGCGTCGACGTTCTTCGCTTGCGGTCAAGGCCTACAGCGAGGGTGCACGGCTCTGGGGCGCCCCTGCCGAGAAGGCCCAGGCCTCGCCCTGGAGACTTCGGGACGTAGGGCTCACGCCATTTGCGGCCACTGCCGACCGTTTCCGCGCCCAGGGACCGCGAGCCAAAAAAATCACCCTGGGCGACAAAGAGCATCCAAGGGAAGAGGACGGGAGCTCCAGGATCCGCACTATGGAAGACCAAACCATCGGAGGTCTGGGAACTTCAAGCGGCACACGAGCAAAAGGGTTGGAAGGGAAGAGGCAAAGGCAGGGATGCAAAGGAAAGTTTGGTGCGGCAATGCAGCCGTACCACTGGCTGTACCTGCAAAGGCCTACCACCCGCTTCCCCCAGTCAGAGAATCGCGTGAACCAGCGCAGGGCCAGAGGATGGTTCCAGTCTCTCTGGACCAGCACCCCGCAGAGGTTCAGCCGCAACATCATGACCATCGGCGGCACCCCAGTCCTCTGCATGAGCCTCTGCTGGGCGTTCGCGCTGACGGCGTCGCAGAACATGGTGCACGTCAGCAGAGCGATGCCGAGCAACACCAGCTGGGATGACTCGCCAATCTTGCCTGCGTGGCAACAGAAGCGTGCCGACGACGACAACGTCGACGTCGACGTCTTCGTTTCGGATAGCTGTGGGAATCCCACCAGCCCTTTGGGCTAAGGTGGCCTAACGACTTCTTTTCTCTTCCAAAAACCGCTTCCCTTCCGGGAGGTTAACCTCCCTCCCTGAGATTGTTTTGGGGAGTCGCGAGGTGTCAGGCCTCCCAAGATGGCCCAAGATGGCTCCAAGAGGGCAGCCGATGCTCCAAGATGACCTCCAAGAAGGCTCCAAGAGAAGCGAAGAGGGCCACAAGGCGGTTCAAAGTGCTCCCACGAGCCTCCTCAGGACGCCCCCACGAAGCCAGCAGCCTTCCAAAACCCTAAGGAAATCCATGATGTGTGCCTTCTCGCCTTGTCGCTTCCGATGAGCTGTTGAGGCCTCAAGATGGCCCCAAGATGGCCCAAGGGAAGCCCAAGACGGGCCCAAGAGGCCCCCCAAAAGGCCCCAAGAGCGCCCAAGAGCGGCCCAAGAGCGCCCCAAGAGGGCCCAAGAACCGATTTCGAGTGCTCTAGGGGAGGGGGCGGGGGGGCGAAATCAGGACCCCCCCTATCATTTGGATCGATGGCCTCCAAAATTGCCCCACTTTGATCGATTGATGGCCGCAAGAGGCCCTCCAGGGCCCCCAATGGACCCCAAGATGGCTCCAAGAGGGCTCCAAGAGGGCTCCAAGAAACCCAAAAGAGCCGCAAGAGGACTCCAAGACACCCCAACAGAGTCCCAAGAGGACTCCAGCAGGCCATTTTGAAGGCTCTGTCCTCGTCCTCGTTGTCCTCCTTCTCCTCCTCCTCCTCATCCTCCTCCTCCTCCTCCTCCTCCTCCTCCTCCTCCTTCTCCTTCTCCTTCTCCTTCTCCTTCTCCTACTCCTTCTTGTCCTCCTCCCCCTCCTCCCCCTCCTCCTTCGCCTCCTGCTCCTCCTCCTCCTCCTCCTCCTCCTCCTCCTCCTCCTCCTCCTCCTCCTCCTCCTCCTCCTTCCCGTCCTCGTCCTCATTCTCGTCCTTGCCTTCATTCGTCTTTCATTTCCTGTTCTTCCTCTTCCTCGTCGTTGTCGTCGTCGTCGTGGTCGTCGTCCTCCTCCTGCTCCTCCTCCTCCTCCTCGTCCTCCTCCTCCTCCTCCTTCCCGTCCTCGTCCTCATTCTCGTCCTTGCCTTCATTCGTCTTTCATTTCCTGTTCTTCCTCTTCCTCGTCGTTGTCGTCGTCGTCGTGGTCGTCGTCCTCCTCCTCCTCCTCCTCCTCCTTCCCTCGCCCCCACGCGGACTCCAGAGATAACTTGAAGAGGACCTCCAAGGCCACACCCTTACTCCCAGAGATCTCTCTGTTCACCCTGGTTGCCCGCTCTGCTCCAATGCGCGCGCCTCTTCGTTTCCTTCCCCGTCGACTCTCGTGGGCAGGGCTTCTGCATGGGCTGGTGCGGATACGCGAAGCGCGAAGACTTCCTCTCGCTTCTCGCCGCCGCGGCTGGACGCGGCTCGACGGACTGGCCAGGATGGACCCCAAGACGGGCCCGGGGACCGATTTTGAGCAAACTTGGTCGGCCGACGACGACGACGACGACCACCACCACCACGACCACGACCACGACCACGACCACGACGACCACGACCACGACCACGACCACGACCACGACCACGACGACCACGACCACGACCACGACGACGACGACGACGACGACGACGACGACGACGACGACGACGACCACAACAACAACGGCCCGCACCTGCGTGGAAAGAGAAGCCCGCTGCACCGGCACAGAGGAGGACAGCCGCGAGGTAATCCAGGGCGCCGAAGGTGCGACTGTTGCCCATCAGCACCGAGACGCCCATGGTCGGTATCAGTTTCGAGGACTTGAAGACCACCTGTGGCCGAGAGAGAACCGCTCGGCTTCAGGGTACCCAACTGAACCGCGCAAGACATCGGAAGGACGCGGCGAGCTTCGGTGGAAAAGCATGCTCAGATCGAAGCCACATTCGCAGCGACTCCCATGAGGGCTCTGCTTCTGATGGGCCAGCTTCTGAACCCGAATACCCTTCGATTGCGCGCCAGAGAGACGACACCACACCGACACACTCGTCCAACAAGCACCACCGTGCCGCAACGAGTCAGCCAACGGGCGTCGTCGAAATCTCGCCCAGACGATGACGTCGTCGTCGTCGTTTCGTCGAAGTTTTGAAACTTTGCGGGTTTGCGGGCGTCTCTGAAAGCTCTCGTCGCCATGGTGGGACACAGCTCGAAAGAGGTCGCCCAGGTGGACTTCTGCAACAAAAGTCGGGGAGACAGGCTTTGGAAGTCCTCTGGTCCGTCGGCCCACCTTCACAGGGTACTGCACCCAGGACACGGCCACGTTCGCCAGCCCGGTCCCGCACCTGGGGAACATCAGAGACCGATCATACCGGGACTCCTCCTCGGGCCTCTCCTGGGGCGCGCTCCGACCGAGCGTACTTACCCCCCTAGGTGGGGATATATGGTCCCGGGGCGAGGGCCCACGGGCCCCCCCCCCAGATGGGATGGGTCCATGGACTCCACGGACCCCCCTCCCCAGCTGGGATGGAGGTGGGGACGACGACGACGACGACGACGACGCCGACGACGACGACGACGACGACGACGACGGCGACGGCGACGGCGACGGCGACGGCGACGGCGACGGCGACGGCGACGGCGACGGCGACGGCGACGGCGACGGCGACGGCGACGGCGACGGCGACGGCGACGGCGAAAACGACGGCGAAAACGACGGCGACGAAAACGACGACGACGACGACGACGACGACGGCGGCGGCGACGATGACGTTGACGACGAAGACGACGACGACGACGAAAACGACGGCGACCAAAACGACGACGACGACGACGACGACGACGACGACGAAGACGACGACGACGAAGACGACGAAGGCGGCGGCGGCGGCGACGACGACGACGGCGGCGACGACGACGACGACGACGACGACCACGACGACGACGACGACGACGGCGACGATGACGACGGCGACGACGATGACGACGGCGACGACGCCGACGACGACGACGGCGGCGACGACGACGGCGACGACGACGACGGCGGCGACGGCGGCGGCGGCGGCGACGGCGGCGACGGCGGCGGCGGCGGCGCCGACCTCCAGAGCCCTCCTCCTCCGACGACGGCGGCGGCGACGACGACCCCCCGAGCTCTCTTGGAGCACCATAGTACCACGCAACACACGCCACACCCACAGCACCACACCACACCCACAGGGGCGGGGGGAGGGACCCATCGTGGGGGGGGGGCACGATGCCATCAGCATGGTGGGGGGGGGGCCCGGACCTGGATCATATGTGCCTGTTGCTTCGGGTTTCGCGCGGTCTAGTTAGCCCCGCCTCGGAGGGTGTGCTGGAGAAGCTGAGATGCCATGGCCCAGTGGGGATGGGGATTGGTTACCTAGACAATGCTGACCGACCAGGATTCCCGAGGCGGATCCGACCGCGGCGACGAGGGCCCCCCCAGAGGCCCACAGAAGGCGAAACCAATGGGAGGACATCGGCATCCCCTCAGGTCCGACGTTGCGAAAAACTGCATCATCGCAGAACCCAAAAAACTATCCTGGCGACGAACCCAGCAACATGCGGGTGTGAGTAACACAATTGTGATTATCGTCTTCCGGGAGCTCCCGATTGGCGTCACGAACCGTGCCGATTGGCGTCACGAACCGTGTGAGCGGTGCGCAGGAATGAGCGGCCAGATCGCTTGCGGGCGGCACCACGGGGGCCTTCGGTGGAACTCCACATGGGGCCAGGAAACGTGAGGGGTACACCGACATGAACGACGCGGACGCATGCGGGCGGCGCCACGGGGTCCTTAGGTGGGCCCTCCTATGTGGCCACGAAGCGTGTGAGGCGTATGCCGACATGGGTGGCGCGGATGCATGTGGACGGTGCCACTGGGGCCGTGGGTGCAGCTCCCTGTGGAGCCACGAAGCGTGTGAGGCGTGTGCCGACAGGGGTGGCGCGGACGCATGTGGACAGTGCCGCTAGCCGTGGGTGGAGCTCCTTATGGGGCCGCGAAGCGTGCGAGGGGTGTGCCGACCTGGGTGGCGCAGACGCATGTGGACAGTGCCACTTGGACCTTGGGTGGAGCTCCTCCATATGGGGCCACGAAACGTCTGAGGGGTGTGCCAAAATCAGTGGCGCGGACGCATGTGGACGGTGCCGCTGGGGCCTTGGGTGGGGCTCCTTTGGAGGCCACGGAGCGTGTGAGGGGTGCGCCGAAAATGGTGGCGCGGACGCATGTGGACGGTGCCCGTCGGCCCTTTGGTGGAGCTCCCTTTGGGGCCACGAAGCGTGTGAATAGTGTGCCGACATAAGCGGCGGAGTCGCATGCGGGCGGCGCCACTGGGGCCTTGGGTGGAGCTCCCTATGGGGCCACGAAGACGAAGCGAACGAGAGGTGTGCCGAAATTTGTGGCGCGGACGCATGTGGACGGTGCCATTCGGTCTTTCGGTGGAGCTCCTTATGAGAACATGAAACGTGTGAGTGGTGTGCCAAAATGGGTGGCGCGGACGCATGTGGACGGTGCCAATGGGGCCTTGGGTGAGGCTCTCCATGGAGCCACAAACGTGTGAGGGGTG